AGCCATTGTGTGGTGATGGTAGCAGCATACTGAATACAGAAAATGAAAACGAGAGCTACATTTCTAGATTATAAGGCACAAATAAATGACACATACCAAATAATGTCCCATGTAAATGTCAGTAAAATATAGCCAAACATGTTCTGGAAGACTTTCCCTACCAAATATACTTTCCAATTGGTCTAACAATTTGGCATCCGACATCTGTGAAGCATTAAGTAAATGACACTTCAGATCATGGCAATTTCAGCAAATGAGAGGTTTTGTATTGTAATTTATAGGTTTAAAAATTGCATTCAAGTCTTGTAAATATAAATCGCTAGCTTATAAAGTAACATTTAGTTCAGTTGAACTATTTTTAAATCATATTTTAACTTTAATTCACTTAAAGGACCAGAAGTTCTATTTCACACTAAAGCTAATAATAGTCTCAAGGCTCCAAATATGCCTTTTATTTGAAAATTAAACTTTTTTATTTTTGTTTTTAACACAGTAAGCTAGAGTAGATTAGAAATTAACATTTTTCTTTCTGTGTAAAATAATCACAGAGTGAACAGTATTTTACACTTTCTTTTTTGGAAAGAGAATTAATCATTTCTGTTGTGTTCTTAGGGTCTTCTTAGGAAACCCTAGTAGAAGAGTCAGTTTTATCTAGCACCAAAGTCAAGGTACTTACCTAGTCCAGGAGGGTTGGCAAACCCAGGAACCATGCCTACACTTGTCAGGCTGCAGAGCTCTCTTCATTTTCCCCTTCCCATAAATTAACAGGGTACAGGGGCCGTGGTTGTGCCATGCCTGTTCTCATAAGGTTGGTTGGTTTGTTTCTGAGACAGAATCGTGCTGTGAAGTTCAGACTGGCCTTGAACTCACCATGTAACCCAGGTTGGCTTCAAACTTGCTGCAATCCTCTTGCCTCAGCCTCCAAGTGCCGGGATTACAGGTGTGCACCACCACACCTGGCAGCTTCCTAAAATGTTCGATCAGGGCAGTCACTGTGATTCCCAGTACATTTGTAAATTCTGAGTTTATCACTTTATGAGTGAGCAGAGCATAAGCTGCGGTATCAAGACACAGGTCAGATTCCAGTCATTTGGTTTTCTATGTATATAAGTTAGTCTTTTCAGTTTAATACTAATTGATTTATAAAGCTTCCTTTCACTGTGGTATATTTGGTAGTGATCATTGATAAGAATGTTTGTGAGATTTAACCTTAAATTTCCAAATGAAATCATTATGTAGAGTTGTTTTGTGTACAGAGCGGGCTAAAAACTCAGTTTCAGAATCATATTGAACTGTTGCCCTTTGTGGAGGATTCTGTTTAAATTGTTAGTCAGTTTCCAGGTGACCCATTCTCCTGATACTTTGGCAAAAGGAATGAGGAGGGAGGATTTTGCATCTTCTGTAGACAAAGTGTCGTGGCCTAGAAGGGACCAACTCTGAAGTCACCCTTTTATCTGATAGCAGGGAAGGAACTAACTTACAGTCTTCACTGATCAATGGAAAAGAAGCAATCCTAAGAGTTTAAGGGACCCTTATCCATCTTTTTATATACATTGTATGAGCTATATACCATTCTATTAATGAGTTTTTTTATTCCATCACTCATTTCTTCTAGAAACCCTTCTTTTGAGTCTGCTAATAGCAGTTGTTATTTTGTAACAGTGCAGCAGTGACTGAGGTCCTTGTCACTACATCTTCTACAGTCTAGCAAGGAAGCTGCTAATGCTGTTGGTTTATTGTGGTTTTCTCTCTCTCTCTCTCTCTCTTTTTTTCTCTCTCTCTCTCTCTCTCTCTTTTTGTGGGGGGCGGGAACCAGGGATTGAACTCAGTCCCTTGCCTTGCCAGGCAAGTGCATATTCTACTGAGCCATTTCCCTGGCCCCTTAATGCTGTTGTTTATGTGCATAGATCTGACCCAGTATTAACAATGATCCCTTTATTTCACCGTTAAAATAAGTTAAGAGTATGGCCACTAAAAACTTTTTCTGTGTTCCTGGTGCTCTGTCAGAGGGAAGAGTAAGATACATTTTATTGATCTTACTAAATTGTTGCCTGTTAATTTCAACTTTAAAAGTATTCCACAGATGTTACACAAGTGTTTGTGAGCTATTCCAGCTTACTAGTTAGATGGAATGTTGTATGTCATACGGGGAAGATTAATTACTTTAGGGAGATAGCTTTAAGGGGGATTACCATAATTCCACCACATTTGACAGCTTTGGATATGTATTTCAGTAACATGACTTCATGTCTTTTGTGATTTATTTGAAAGAAAACTCTTCTGTATATGGTATCCATGAAGAGGCTGCAAGGATCAAAACATCAATCTTTGAGTTACAGTTACATGTTTTGTAGACCAGGAAGAGGATGAATCAAAAGAATAATCAGTGATTTTTTAAAAAAAGATTACATTATAGATCCGATAAAATCTTCACTATCAATCTTTTCTAAGTAACTAGTTAAATATCACTGGTGTCTAAAACAAGACCTGTGTCCCTCTGACTGCGTAGCCCTATGGTTAGAGATATTTAATTGAAGGTTCCCTGTGTTGCTGATTCAGTATATGTATGCCACTGTTGATGCATAGAAAGACTGGAGACATGAGCTTTGCCCACAAAGAACTATGATTTGTCTTGAGATATTATATGAGTACACACTAAAGATATGTGATGATTTCCATAAAGGGCTAGAATGGGGAAGTATATCTCGGGCAGAATGGTCAGGGTTCATATGAATGAAGGAGTAGTCATGAGCATCCATGGGAGGAAGGGAACAGGCCTGAGTGTAGGGGACGATGCTCAAGCGAGGTGGCAAAAAGACAGGTGAAGGCAGGTTGGAATCAGTCTGGATGGTTTTAAGTCAGGCTTAAGGATTTTCACATCTTCATAATCTGGAAAACTGGTTTAATCAGGCCAAATACAGATCATTTTAGTCTAAATTGATAATTTTGAGCCTATTCTAGTAATATGTACATTTTAAAAAGTATTAGAAATACAATTTCCAAATGTTCCTTTTTCAACAGTCTTCCTTCAGATTTTATTTTTCCATAAGAGTAAAATAGTTACATCAAGCAAATAATTCTCTGACCATTGCTGTAATTTAAGCATGATCAATAGTGATACACTCCAAAGCAATACAAGAAGTGTGAAACATTACATGGTTTAAGTTCACTGTGTCTTATACCATAGAAGATAAAAAAAAAAAAAAAACCTATATTCATAATTAAGTTCTTGTAACACCCATTGTGTCCCTTTGTAACCAATGCTTAAATCTTGGATTTCTTGGGACTAAAAAATCTGGACTGTAGTAAAAGTTCAAAAACATTGCTTTTGCATGCCTTATTTTTACTGTGCAGTTCTCAAGAGATTTTTTCATTTTGTGGTATTAATGTATAGTATTAAAGCATTTTAAAAGTTAATTTTTTCTGTTTTTAATGATTAGCCAAAAAAGCTTCCAAATTTCGAGACTGGTTGGACTACAGCAGCATGGAGATAAAACCTAACATTGTTGCTATGGAAATTTTAGCATATTTAGCATATGAAACAGTGGCACAGGTAAGAATTCTAAGCTGTAGCATCAAGCTGTACATGATGGCTACTGCCTTGTTTTTCTTCGACCTCCTGCTCTAGCAACCCTGATATCAGCCATGAGTTCTCTGTTGTGACAGTTATATCATTTTCCAGAGTTTAGTTCAATTGTATTTCTTTGTATCCTTGGCTCTGGTGGATGTTAAAGTTAAAAAAAAAGAAAAAAAAGTTTCTCGAAACTTTATCCTTATCAGAAATTGATTGCATACTTATTTGTAACATTAAACTCTTTAAGTCTTCATCTGTCATGTTAAAAGATTATTTTTGAGCTTTGAAGTATGCTCCTCTGGATCTCCTTAGTGCTCACCCAAATCTGATCACAAAAGGAATTATTCCAGGCATGGTCTGTAGGCCACAACACCAGCATCAACTTGGACCATATTACAGCAAAAACTCCTGACTAGAATTAGAGCAGACCTGAACCAAAATCTCTAGAACTTGGCCCAAGGATCTATGTTACAAAATGCTTCCCTGGTGATTATGAAAGGACTTTTGAGAACCATTCCCTAGAAATGGTTACCCCTCACTGGAATTCACAAGTAGGCCCATTTACCAGGCAGTAGAAATCTTTGTGCATGCCCCCCATAGAAGTTGTTAGGCATACTCATACTGTGTCACTTTTTTACTACTTGAGCTATGTGACTTTATTTCCATTGCTCTGATCTTCCAGTTAGTGGATCTGGCTCTTCTTGTGAGGCAGGACATGGTGACCAAGGCAGGTGACCCTTTCAGCCATGCCATTTCTGCAACCTTTATCCAGTATCACAGTTCTCCTGAGGTATGTATCAGAAAATTTAACTTTAATACAGCTTTGAATTTTGTCATATATATATATATATATATATATATGATTTGTCTCAGTAGCTCTTTATATTATGTAGACATGTATATCCTTCAGTCAAAGAATCTTACACATTCACCATTTAAACATATTTATTAGGTGCTCATTCTGTGCTAAACCCTGATAGCCTATTTTGTTTTTTTGTTGTTGTTGTTGTTGTTTGTTTTTGTTTTTACCGTTTCTCTGTCCAACTTGCCTTTCCCAGTTCTTCAGAACAGGAGAGCTAGTGGCATCTCATTTCCTCATGAAAGAATAGTTGGCAAAGGCTGTCCAGTAATGATGGGAAAAGTTATTTCTCTGTGCCTCAAATGATGGAATTAGGTTAGAAATGCAGCATAGTGGTAGAGCACCTGCCTAGCATGCACAAAGAAGGCTCTGGTTCAGGTCCCCAGCACTGCCAAAAAGAAAAAGATAGTTACTATTACTCATGTAATAATTCCTGGCATTTAAAAGAAAACTTCATTCATTAACTTTTATATGAACAGGACTTAAAGAAGCGTAACTCCATTAATTCCTAGCTTTGAGATTAGCCCTCTAATGTAAAAATCAGGTCATTTTCTTATCTGTTGTATGCTCCTAGGGCCACTGTCTGCAGGTTCTCTCAACTTCTGTCATTTTTTTACATTTTTGCATAATCGTGTACCACTTTTAGCATGCACAATATTCTCTGAAGCAATGTGTGCGTAGAAACAAATGAAATAAACATGTTGAATACATTTGCCAATATTTTGCCTTTTTTACACACAAATAGCAATTTCATATTATTCCATCTAATAGCCATAGAGGCAACAGCAAAAATGTGGCTTAACATTAGTATATATAATTATTAGATGAGTTTTAGAGCAAATTGAATAAAATGTATAGCATAAGAAAAATGGCAGAGTGCTGTTTTATATCTATACTTTATCTTAATTACAAATACCTCTTCCCTTGGGGCCAGGGAGGTAGCTCAGTAGAATAAGCACTTGCCTGGCAAGTGCAAGGGCCTGAGTTCAATCCCCAGTTCCACCAAAAAAAAAAAAAAAACCCACATACCTCTTTCCTCTTAATAATAGTAAATGAGGAGGATATTGCTGAAATAGTTTTAAGAAATAGTTGTAATCTGTTTTGGGCTACAGATGCCTTGGGAATCTGATATAAATCACTTCTCCATAAACACATTCATCAATTTTGCATACAATTTCAGATTGTAAAGACCCCCATCAAGCCATTCTATGGCTCTGTGGGATTTGTGAACACTGTGAACCCCAAGTTCACCATCTACTTTAGGGTACTTAGAAGATGTACCAAAATACATCCCTGTATAGCATCTCATTACAAATGAGGTCAGCTTGCATCCTCTTATATGCCCTGGAGGATCAGATTGGCTTCAAATCCAAGGAGGATGAAAATGTTTTTTCCCATTAAACATCCTTTTTTTTTTTTCTTTAGATCATACATCATTATCAGTCAACATATTTTTAAAGTCTTGAGAGCTTACTTAGTTGATTAAACATTATTTGCTTTCTCTATGTTTCAAACCCAAATTATGATGTCAAAGAATACCCTTTAAAATGTCTTTGATGCATGTTCACTGTATGCATATGTTTGTAAGTATGCTTTCCATTAACATCAGACAGATTTGTTGTAACATTTCTAATTGAGGAAATTTACTGTGAATATAACAAGCCTAGTTTTCCCTTAATGTTCAAGTGACTGCTTGTATGGCCAGCCCTTTAGTCCTCCCCTTTCTGGGTTCTCCAGGGTGGCCAAGCTGCCCTGGGCAACTGCTCAGCAACCACAGCAACTGTTCCCAGCTACATAACAGTTGAGAAAAATGTCCTGTGTGTGCTAGATTTCCTGGCCATTCTGTAAAGTGAGGGCATGAGTGTCATGAAGTGTTCTAACAATGTTAGCATAAGCCTCAGGTTATTGCTGGCATGGTGGGCACCTTGCCTCCTCTGTGATAGACAGCTGAGCCTAAAGACTACCTTCCTGCCTGCCCTTTATTACCTGACAAAGAAAATAGATTCCTCTTAAGGGATCTCTGCTTCACCTGCAGCAGGAACTTTCCTCATCAGCACTGCAGCCCATAGCAAACTCTACATCTAGGACTATATATGCAGAACTTTACTAAACTGGGTCCAGAGAAGACTCAGCAGACAGGTAGAAACTGTATTCATGGAGCCAGAACAAGCAGTAAATGGACTGACAATTCAAAATACCATATACAATTTCCAAATGAAATGAAGTACAGAGTTTAAAATCACACACACACGCACACACACACTTTAGTTAAAGACAGAGAGAAAACTGAGTGTTAAAAGAAAGAAAGTACTTGCAATCCCAGCACCCTGGAAGGCTGAGGCAGGAGGATGCAAGCTGAAACCCTGCCTGGGTGCCTTAGTTTAGTGAGGCCTTCTGTCAAAAACAATGAAAAGGACTGCAGATGTAGCTCAGAGTAGAGGTCCTAGTACCAAAACAAACTCAAGCTAAAGGTTTATTGAAGAAGGATAGTAGGAAGTTTGATCAAGAAATTAATCCCTTACCAGTACCAGTCCAATTATTTAAATATAGGATGACCAAAAATTCCATTATTTTTCATCAATTATTATAATACTACGAGAAATATAAAAATGACAGCTTTATCAAATTTATTCAATACAAAAATCAACTAGTTGAAATGGCTCCTACCCAAGCAATGCTTGGGATATTCAGTACATAAACAAATGCACTGCCCAACTGTTGCTTGGGGCAAACTGTTGAGTGGTTAAGATCTATAGTGATTAGAGTCTTAGACTACTAGAATTATTAAGGAAGTATTCTTGGATCTTGGGAGGATTTTTGCTGTAGGATGAAGGGTTTAGAAAGATGTTTTGAGTAGAAGGAATGGCAATACTGTGTTAACTTGCATTGGACTTGGACTTGGATCCTCAAACCCATGGGATTGATACCACCAGTACATGTACAGAAAGGAAGTGTTTTTTGTTTTGTTTTGTTTTGTTTTGTTTTTGAGACGATAGTCTTGCTACCTAGATCAGGTTGACCTCAAACTTGCTGCATAGCCCTGGGGACCTCAAATTCAAAATTCTCCTGTCTCAGCCTCCCAAGTGCTAACTAAAAGCATTCTTTCATGCTCATAGGAACATCATTCTTGAGCACTAGCCATGGAAGGGACTGATCTCATTAAACTTAGATTCTTTCTATGAATTAATTTCCAAGTTTTAGTTTTAACAGTTTACACACAGACAGCTATGATCTGATCACTAAAAGTGATACAAACATTCACAAATCAAGCACTTCTCATTCTAAGCATTATGGATCATGAATACTCAGTTTTTATCTTATTATTCCAGGAAAAAGTTATACCAGATTATCCACATTCCTACTCATTTGATGTTGTTTCTCCACAAACAGATTAAGAAATATTTTTGAGACCAGTATTTCAATATCTCAGTTTCAGCAAGACATTTTGTAAATTGTATAATTTTTAAAACATTGTAGAGAAGAGTAGGCCGGTATATATTATGATTACTTGGTTGATAAGAATAAGGACAATGACTTAGAGGTTTTTCACTTGCCTGTATATTTCCTAGAAGACAGTACTATGATATAACAAGAAATTTTTTTTCTTTTAGTTTCTAGGTGTGGACTTACGGGATGGGCATTGATCCTGTGGTGTGTGTATGGGGGAAAAGGGGTTGTTAAAAAGGAAAAACGTAAAACTATTCTTACTAATAACCAGTTGAAAGAATTTAGGATATTTGACCATACCAGAGAAGAAACTGAAAGTACAGGTTTCAAAACATTTGCACTATTTTCACAATTAAGAAAGAACAGACTTGTAGTCATGACCCAAAAAACTAGAATCAAGAGTGATATGAGGGAGAAAGGAAGGCATGAGAAGTTGGAACAGCTGGAACACACGTAGGGACCTCTGCCATGAAGCCTGTGTGCTGGGGAAGTGCTGGAGACTCTGATTTGAGGGGCATCTAAATGACATCCAACTTGGCCAAAAAATCTAGGGCTCCTTTTGAAATTCTACAAAAACTCCATTCAGAAATGTGTGTGAGTAACAAGCCCAGCAGAGGTTAAGAAGCTGGAGGTTAAGAATTCTGGTCTTGTCTTAAATAATTAGATGAAAAATTAACATATTTAGAACTTTTCAGTCCAAGATAGAGCTCATGTCTAAGAACTAAATGTGAATAGTGTTTTTACTTTCAAGCTGCAAGTAGCATCACATCATTAGATATTAAAGCAACACTAATATTAGCAGAAGATCTGGTCATGTAACTTCAACGCCGTGTCTCTTAATCAGCAGGGATCTTGCATGAAGTCCTCCTGCCCAGACTCCCCTGAGAACACACCACCCCCAACACCCACAGCTCCCCCATCCGGATCACAGCACCCAGGGAAGACTACACCAGTGACCCTCGGGAATGGGAGTGCTGGGCCAGACACTGCTAAAACCAAGCAAAGGAAAAGAAAAAAGGTCAGTGACCATTTTTTCCCTTGGGAAATATGGGGAATCTCATTAAATACTTTTCAGAGATAGGAAAAATGTGCTTTGTTTCTCTCACAGCTTAATTTTTTAGAACCAGTTATTTTACTTGCACTCATAACTTCTACTCAAACTTTCTAAACAACTTTTTTCTGGATTAATAAAAATTGTCTTAATTAACATTACTTATTATCTTGATATTTGCTACAATTACTGTAACTTTTCTGATAATTACCACAATTTTTAGTCACATAATTCTTTGTAGGAAATATCATTCTGTGAGTAACAATCTCTATTGGTAGCAAATTAGCTAAATCTTACCAAAATAAATCAAAGCTCAATAACTGCAATTTTACCTCAAAGAATTCAGATGTGGAGTAATATATACCTGAAGATACTTACTACAGCACTATTTGGATTGATGAACTAAATGCTCACACTAAAGGTCTGCCTAAGTAAATCGTCCTTTGTCCATTCAAGCAAGACACACAATAAAGCACAACCACTCTCATAGAGCTATTTCTAAGATGTAGAAAAAGGACATAGCCAGGTAAGTGGCACTAGGCCACTACCTATTAGGGAAGACAAAAACTGAATCTGATATACCTATTAGCACTAATCTCTGCAAGGACACACCAAACTTCAGCACTAGTGCAGACATCCTGGAGGGGAAGAGAAGGAGGGAGATGAGAGAGAAATCTACTTTTTATTTTATCATCTTCCATACTATACTCTTAGGCTATGTGCATGCTTTTCTTATTACAAACTCAAAAAGTAACTTTAAAATTTCCACAAAAAAATAAATAAATAAAATAAAATTTCCACAGAGAACATCCAACCTTAGCCTGAAATAAGACTTAAAATATAAATAACAAAAAAATCTCAATTATTTTCATAAGATTTGAAATGAGCTGAGTCGCAGTTACTTGAGGGCAGTGGTGGTGAAGCTGTGGCATATGTGTCACAACAGACTTTGTCTATCGTTGAAAGCTCTAAAAGGTTCACCGGCACTGCTCTAGGTATCTTTCTCAGTGTCATCCCAATACCTTAAACATGTCCTGTGCCCAACATCAACATGGATGCACTCTAGATATATATTACTTCTTGGTAAATGAAAGGGGAAACCAGAAACAAAGCAGAAATTTACATTTGTTTACTATCAGTTATAAAAGTACATCTAGGCATGCTTCTACAGCTTTTAATGATGAATAGTTCTATTGTACTAACCATGATACAGCTAAAGGTGTAAACACTGGACAAGTACTAAAGAAATCCATGAGAGCACTTGAGCCTGGTGGTGACAGGTCTAAGCTTAGACAATGAGAACAACTGGGGTTAAGCTTCCTGCTCTGATTGCTGTGACCCATAAGCCAGTTCCAGTGGATGTTGGAGTAGCTAAGACAGAACACCAGCGGCTTCATGAACTACAAGCCAGAGTTCAGGGAAACTACAGCGGAAATAAAGTGAGGGAGAAAATCCCAAGAATGACATAATCAAAATGAATAATCTCCTTGTTTTACCTGCATTTCTGACCTCTGAACTATTCCTGTGTGGTCTAGCAGCTGCCACTCAAAGAGAAGGCCTGAAGTCTAGAGAGAGGTTTGAAAAGTGAATTCCCTGCTGAACAAATAAACACAAACACCGTCTCCAACAACTCTCTTAATAGAAATATAACAGAATCCCATAATATCAACAGTGTTTTGCTCAGAATGTCTAAAATGTAAATAAAAATTATAAAACATGCAAAAACACAAACAAGTGTGATCTATACTTGTTGAGGACCAAAATAATTTAGGTAATTATGTAATTATCACACCAATCCCTTAGAGCAATTATAATTGTTGCCCCAAAATACAGATGAAGAAACTGAGACCTGGAAATATTACGCAGTGTTGTAGACCATGTAAAGTGATAGGGCTGGAATGTGGACCCAAGGCAGTTGAGAAGGGGACTTACAACCAATCCACAAGACTACAGTACTACTGAGCATGTTAATGTTTATTGACAAATCATGTTACATACACACATCTGTCATTTCTTGAGTTGATACTAATTTAGTACTCTCATTGCAAATAGTCTTTTTCTTTCTCATGTTCTGCAAAATTACTTCTTATAGATGAGGAAATAGAAAGTTTTTGTGTTTTGTCCTCAGGATACCAAAAAAATTAGGAACCAAGTTGGAATACTCTTTTATGACAGTCCCCTGTGCAATAAATATATAGCATTCTTCCATTCCTAGAAGAATGGCTAGGAATCTCCCAAGAAACATTTATAATAATGAATGTTTAGCTTGCTCTTTGCCGCTGCCATGAAAGGTTGCCCTCTGCTATGTGCTGCTCTGCATTGGACCCAGCTGAGTATGGACAGAAACCTCCAGTAACTGGAAGGCTAGTCCTTCGAGCGGGAAGATCAGAGAAAGTGGCTTTACTCCCTGTGTGCGGTGATCCTCGAAACTTCTAAAGCTTTCCTGACACAAGACAAGCAAACCCAGCCTATGTCCTCACCAGCTCTGCCTCTGTAGGCACTGAACTTTGGCTTCCCAGACCAACCTAGGGCTGTGGGGACAGGAAGTTTCTGCTGCCCGCTAGGGACAGTTCTTCCCTCTGCCTATGAACATGGAAACAAATTTCTCAGAGAGAAGAGATCTATGCTTTCAAGCTTCAAAATTAGGAGGACAGGAAAGGAAAGGAACAGAAAGGAGAAGAGAGGAGAGGAGAGGAGAGCAGAGGAGAGCAGAGGAGAGGAGAGGGAAGAAGGGTGAGGGTAGAGCAGGGCATGTGGGTGAGATTTAGGAGACTAATGGCTAAGAAATCTTATAGATTTTTAAATTTGTGGGTACCACCTCTGTATTGTAGGTTGATGAACCCATTGCATAATTTGCCACAATAGAAAGCGCTCTCCTGTTTTTTTTCTCTAATAATAAACACAGTCACCCTCCTCTTTGTAAAAGCTGAAGCAATGGACTAAGGCATGAAGTAGAAAGTGATAAGCTCCAAGTACATCAGTTCAACATTAGATGAGCAAACATTCACGGAGGACTCATTCCACAGTGCTGGGATTAGACAACCACTGGGAATCATACATGTGGTCCTGCCTTTACTTAGCACTAGGCATTGAATAATAACAGAAGAGTAAGCAAAATATATATGTGACAAATACTATTTATATATATTTACAATACATAATATATATCAAGAACAGAGAACCATAATGCAAAAAACCAACAGAAGAGGAACGGAGCAGGTTGTGTCACCAAGGGCACCCCTGGAAGGGATGTGGCATGACCCACAAATTCCATTTTGTGTCCCTCCACCTGTCCCTCCTATACAATGCAAGCATGTGCCACACTGAAGAATTTTCCAATTACTAAGGCAGGCAACTCAGAAATGAAATGAAAATATTTCCCTCACATCAATGGATGACTTGATTACACACTGTTTTATTGTTATTGATAACATCCCCTGTCTGGGACAGAATATGTATTTAATATGTTTTTATTGTTCTAAATCCATTTTGGAAAATTCCAGCTTTCTCTGTAGACTTCTGTTTGCTAGAGAACAGGAATTGTTATAAGAAGATATAAAAGCTACTTATTTTTTATGGGGCTTCTGCATAAATCTTCTATCTATAGCATGACCAAGTGACATAAATTTTCGCAGCTTGTCTCTGTTCCACCTGCTGTGGAGCCAGTGCTGTCCTACAGCACTATCCAGGAGCAGAATTGAGCTATTGGCGGGTGTCATAAATAAGGAGGGGTGTCAGGGCTGTTTTCATTTGACTGAGCAGTAATGGAGTTAATTATACTGTCTGTCTCTTTGTTTTTGATCTGTGTTTCCAAAGTCATCTAAGCTTTCGGGACTTCTCCTCTTTTAACTCTTCCCTGGTCTGATTGGATTTCAGAGCTTGGGGGAGTTCACAGCTATCAATTATGACTCTCTTTAAATTCTGCCCCCTTTCATTTATAACTGTGCAGATTGTTTTACAATAATTCTTCCTCCTAGAAATATGGGGATTGACAACATTATTTTGTGCTTGATTTATAATTTTTATTTTGAAACTTTTATATAAATTATGGAGAAGGAAGGATTTTAGCCCAATTTTGCACTTGAGACAAATGCAAGAGAGATGAACGAGTTCCGATCTAGGATTTTAAAAGGAAGCCGAGAGGAAGCCAGGCTGAGAATCTTCATTAGATTTTGCTTGGATTATGAGGCACCATTGAAATGCAAACAGGCTTCCCTGTTCTGCTATCAGACCATTATGTATTAACTCAAGGTAACAGAAGTAGATTAAACATGCTATTGCATGCACTCATGCTTACACATATGTGCATGTGCATGTGTACAAACATATATTTATGTGCATGTGTATGTAAAGGCATTGGAGACATCATTTCATTTTTATCTATTGACATTATTTATGTTTGTACTCAAATTATTGGTTACTATAGATAATTTATCTTTAATTTTCTTCAAAAAATTTTTTAATCTTTATTTATTTATTTATTTGATACAAGGTCTCATTATGCAGCTTGGACTCATAGCGATTCTCCTGTTTCAGCCTCCCTAGTGCTGGGATTACAGGCGTGTGCCACTATGCCAGGTTTCGGTGGCCAGTTTTGCACCTTGAGGTTCCAGGGCTAGCTTGGCATGTGGCTCCAGGGATCAAACCCAAGTCCTTGTGCTTGCCAGGCAAACAGCCCACCAAGCTAGCTCCCTAGCCCCTTTAATTAATTTTCATTACATATATATATATATATATATATATATATATATAT